AAGTTAAACATTTTAAATATATATTAATAAATAAAATTTTTTAATAAAAAATTATAAGTATTAAATTAATATAAAAATTAATGTATAATTTACATAAATAAAATTTTTAATCTAACTATTATTTTTAAAAATATTAATTAAAAGATAAAATTTTAAATATATTCTTCAAACAAAATTTAAGAAAGTAATTTATACTACACTAACATTTATATTAAAAATAAAATCTGTAATTTTATCATGTAAAATAATTTAAATTATAAAATATTTTTATATGAAATATATTATAGACTTTTTAAGAAATTCTAATAGTCATATAATAGGTCTAACTATAATATTTTTACTAATATCTCAATGAAAGTGGAAAGTAGAAGAGATACGCTCCGCAAGAATTTTCTCAAAAATTACTGGAAGAAACAATTATATTGGCACAGCCAGGGTGTGGACGCGAAATCAAATTTCAAATTTCTTCAGTTAATGCAAATTGTGCACAACTTGATAAGCTCATATCAGTACTGTAAATTATTGAGAACTCCGATACAAGTCTTTTTTCTTTTTGGACCAACTTTTATTTATAGGGTGTCTGGGACATCATGTGTCTTATAACACCTTTAAACTTTTTTCTTTTTCTTTTTTTTGAAAATAGGTAATGAACTTTAAACTTATATCAAGCAAACAGTCAAAAGGCAACCCTCATAATTGAGAAGAATTGCTGTATATTTGTCAGATTCGGACTTTAAATTACATTTCAAATTTATTTAGTGATAATAAGTGATGCAAATTGCACAACTTTGCACATTTCTTCAAAAAAAAAATTTTTATAGAGAAAATGGTTAAAACTTAGATGTTAAGTTAATATTTTACTTTTGATAAAATTTGATTAATAATTAAAATGTAATTTATCGATAATTTTATTAAATTATAATAATTATCAATGACTCAGAACAAAAGAATTACACATTTCTTCAAATTTGTCTGTCTCAATCTTCAGCGTCCCACACCAAGGAAAATTATCACGTTCGCGTCGGTGACAGCTGTAACTTGAATTATGCACAACTTGACAAGCTCATATCAATACTGTAAATTATTGAGAACTCCAATACAAGTCTTTTTCTTTTTGGACCAACTTTTATTTTATATGGTGTCTGGGACATCATGTCTCTAACACCTTTTAACTTATATTAAGTAACAGTCGAAAGGCAACCCTCATAATTGAGAACAATTGCTGTATATTTATCACATCGGACTTCAAATCACATTTTAAATTTATTTAGTGATAACAAATGATGCAAATTGCACTACTTCGCACATTTCTTCAAATTTGTCTGTCTCAATCTTCAGCGCCCCACACCCAAGGACAATTATCACGTTCGCGTCGGTGACAGCTGTAACTTCAATTATACTTTAGCACGTGAAGTGAGATGAATTCCACTACCTATGTTTTCTTCTCTCCGTCCAAGGCAAAATGCTTTCTTTGGTCCTTAATTTCTGGCTCAAAGTATAAGTTGGTCCTCAACCTTCACTTTGTTAGTTTGTGCAGGTCCAACATTCTTCTAGTAGTCATTAAGGCTTCAAAGCTAGTGTGTGATTAGGGCTGTAAATGAATTACGCTACTCAAGTAAAATTTGAGTTCAACCTGACTTGAGTTTAAGTTAGAGTTGAAAG